CCACGTCACCAGCAGATGTTTGGTGAAGACTTGCCAGCTAATCAAGATGGAGAGCAGCCTGGTCCTTCTAGAAGGAAGCGGCAGCCCAGCATGTCGGAGACCATGCCACTGTACACGCTGTGTAAGGAGGACTTAGAGAGTATGGATAAAGAGGTGAGTCCCGGCCCGGCTGCAGCACACGCCTCGCGCGTGGCCTCACCTGGCCTTCTGGTCTCCAGGGACGTGTGGGAGAGGAGGTGACGACAGCAGGAAGTGACCAGTTGGTGTATTGGCAACATAGAAGGCAGGTTTCTGCACCGACGGGCCTGGCCTCCCCCTTCCACCCTGGGGCCCACGGCGGTGTCTGGCGTTGTCGCTAATAAGGGGGCTCCTGGCGTCGAGTGGGTGGGTGCCAGGGGAGCCGCCAAGCAGCCTTCAGTGCCCGGGCGGCCCCCGCGTCCTCAGGGCCCAGATCGAGACACCCTCTGCCCTCTCAGGTTGCACGTAGGTTTTGAAACACACCCAGATCGTGACTGAGAATTGGCTGTTACACCACTAAGAGGTTTCAGGCAACGCGGGTAGAAGTGGGGTGTTTTTCTGCCAAATGCTTAATTGCGGGAATAATGACAATAGGACCCAGAATCCCTTTTGCAGTGAAGATTAAATACAGAGGGGATTCTCCTTAGGACCAGAACAACACTAAACTGTAGATAATTTTGCAAGTCAGCTGTCTGTCTCTGGCCCACGAGGGAAGCAGTGGGAGCGCCCGTCAGCCTGCCCTTTGTCCCTCTCGCCCTGTGTCCCGTGCCTGCCCCAGGGCCCGTGTGCCCCTCGTCCATCCTAGGTCAGGCCCCTCAGAGAAGGCCCCAGCCTGTGGAAAGGTGGCTTGGGCAGCATGGCTCTGGGGCTGCTGTTATACGCAGGGACCGTTGTGGACACCACACCTCACGTCCCACTAAACGGAGCTGGGCCCGGATCAGGACCGACCCTCCTCCGGCCCTCGGATCTGCGTCTTAGAGACAGACAGCCCCCGCAGCCACTCAGCCACTCGCACTGCGCAGGCAGAAGTCGTCCTCGGACCATCGTGGACGCCAGGGAGAGCCCAGAGGACAGAGATGCATTTCAGCTTACTTCCAGCGGTAGCAGAAGAATGTTATATTCAGTATAGAATCCTACCAGCAACTCAGACCGTCATCTTCAGACGATAATTTATCTCGTGATGCTTAAACCTGCTTTCAGATGTGCCGAATTTCTCTGTTTGCCGTTCGTTTTCTGCCTTTTTGAGCATTTAGCCAGTATACTGCTGGGGTTTATTCATAAAAATGTTTTCTCCCTAGAAGAATTTTTTTTAGCCGTAAGCCTGTCTTCTTGATCAAGGATGTTCCTTGTTCTACGTGAGGGACGCTCCCTGCCGGGGGTTGGCAGGGGACAGCTGGACACTCACTTCTCTCCTCCTGCCCACCCCCTCGCCCCAGTCCTCCCAGGTGGATGGGGCGGCTTCGCTGCTGGGCACCTGCAGAGACACGGTTCAGTTTGTCAAGCAGTGGCGACGATTTTGCTACTTGTTTGTTGCACATCAAAGGGTGTCGAAATCTTAACATGAAATAACAGTGTTAAATACACTTTTCGTCACTCGGAAACTTGGCTTTTCTTTCAGAAATGAAACGTAGCCTTAAAACCTTAGTTTTGGCTCTTCGGGAAGAAAGGTTTTGAAGGAGAGAGAAATCCTGGACTTGGGATTCCAGCAAACATGACTGTCGTTTTATAAATGAGGGAACCAGGGGTTGGTGTCCCGCAGTGCTCAGGGTGTCCTGCTCGATTCCCGGTGACATCTGGGCCCCAGAGAGACCGCTCGGTCAGTGCCGGGCGCCAGATGACCAGGGAAGCGGGCGCCTGGCTCTCCATCTTCCCTTTGTGGCAGGGCGGGGGCCGTGTGGGGCTTTAGGATTTGAGGCCGGACAGAGCTGGGCAGAGACCGTGTCCACCACCTGCAGCTCTGCCCAGAGACGGCCAGGCTGTGGTCCCCAGGGTCGCACGAAGGGCGGAGGCCCCCGTGGGGCCGCAGCAGGTGGCTGAGGCCAGAGAGGTGTTCCCTCTCCTTAAAGTGCAGGGAAACAGGACTACTGAAGAGGGTGCTGCCTGTGTGCTCATCTGGGCGGTGGCTCTGAGCCTGTTGTAGTTATAGTTTACTCCACCAGAGGGGGCTCTTCAGATGGGCCCAGACGGGCAGCGACAGGTGCTTGTCTGCTCTACACTTTGAGGACCGTGTCTGGGGGCTCCACAGCCAGGGCGTCCCAAGCACAGACGCCTCTCCCAGCCCCCAGCCGCCCGGAACCCTTCTTTTCCAGGGTCAGCTCCTCTCACCAAAAGGCACATCTCACCAGCACCAAGGTGTTCTGTACTCTCAGCCTGCACCTAAACCTGATTAGG